AGAACGACCCGAGTCGGGTAGCTCGGTTACCACATGCCCAAAAATATACTCAACAGATGTCGTGCCGATGGATGATTGACACCTTTTATTAGGACGTCCGTGGCAATTTAATCGTGACGTGGTGCATGATGGGCGTCTTAACACGTATGGATTTCTGTTTGAGGGCAACTGCATTGTCTTACATCCCTCAGCCCCTCGTTTTGTTCCTTTACAGCAGACGTTGACAACATTGTTTCTTGCTCGATATGGGCCGTGTGGAGACTTGTTTGGAACAGTGCACGGTAGTTCTGTGGTCTTCAACGTGGGCGACTTTGTGTGGGTTGCTTCTCCTCCAGGCGATAGAATCGGGCCCTATGAGGTTCTTGCACGGCTCCCGCAGGATACGTACCGTCTTCGCCTTCCATCTCATAGGTGTTCATATGATATTTTTCATGTGGCAGAATTGACCCCTTTCACCAATGACGGCTCAGACGGAGACGAGATCGGTTCAAATTCGAGGGCGAATTCTTTTCAACCGGGGGAGGATGATGGAGACGAGATCGCCCTCGCGTTCCTCGATAAATATAATCGGATGTCGTTGCTTATTTAATTACTTTATTGCCTTTTCCTTATTATTATTATATTTCCTTATTTATGTCATTTAGAATTAGGAAAATAATTATGTGGTTTTATCTTGTTTAGTAAGTTAGGTTTGTGGGGAATCTACGATATATATATCTGTACTCTCTTCAGTAGGAGACGATAAATAATTTTGAAATTAATCTGATACTGTGAGTTCTTTCGCGAGAGAGTATCTTGTATCTTTTCTCTTTCTCGTATCACGTTCTACATCAAGAACATCAGACACCATTATCATGATCTTAATCTATGCTGATGATATACTAATAACAAAAGCAACAATTCAGAAATTGAGCAGATCATTACTCAACTGAGTGCAAAGTTTTCTCTGAAGGATCTTAGTGAAATTCATCACTTCCTTGGAATGAAGGTGCGCAGGACTAAAATAGGTATCTTCCTATCACAAGAGAAGTATGTTAAAGATCTTTTGTCCAAAGCATCTATGTACAATGAAAAAGAGTGCAAAACTCCCATGTCCACAAATTGCATTCTTAAATAAATCAGTCAGAGGCCAATGTTGATGCTACGATGTATAGAAGAGTTGTTGGTGGACGGCAATACCTCACCATCACTTGACTAGAGATTGTGTATGATGTGAACAATTAATACATTTCTAATCCAAATGATGAACATTGGAAGGAATCAAGAGAGACCTAAAATTCGTGGCAAGCAGTATGAGTTTTGGACTTGAAATGATCACAAAGACTGATAATCTGTATATAGTGGATTTGTGCCTCTGAGCCAATTTAGATGATATAAGATCAACAAGTGACTTTTGTGCTTGTATTGGAGATAATCTAGTATCATAGAGTTCAAGAAAGCAAGCATCAGTGTCAAGATCGAGTGCAGAGACTGAATACAAAAACTCGGCTCATGTTACTTCAAAAATTGTTTGTATGAAGAGTCTGTTTGGAGAACATCATAACTTTTTATTGCACATCAGGTAAAACCAATCATTTGAATTGATAATTTGAGTGCTATAGCAACTGCTTCTAATCAAGTGATGCATGGAAGGACCAAACACATTGAACTCGACTACCAATTTGTTAGAGAAAAAGTTTGCAGCCAAAGATCTTGAAGTAAAGCATGTTTCTAGTCAGTTTCAATAGTTGATATCTTAACAAAACCATTTAGTGAACAACTCTTCCACAAATTGAAAACCAAGTTGAATTGTATGGGAGTGTTAGAAGTTAAAAGAATCATTAAGAATTAGAGCAGGATCAATGCATGAGTCCTGCATGCACGAGTCATCACCAACAGCTCACCTTTGGCCACAAACAAGCCACAAGCATGAGAATATAGTTTGATAGTATTGTTCTCAATTTATTCAACTGCCATGAAGCATGAGAATGAAAATGGAGATGAAAATTCTTCAACTTCTTTCATTTCTGTTCACCATGTTCTCATAAAGAGCAACTATTGAGGCCACACTATATACGCCTTTCGACCGGTTTATTCTGTACTATTATTCCAACAAAATTGTAATTTTGTTGGGCTGTCATTGCATTGTTAAATTGAAGTTCACCATTAAGATCCGTCCATCCAGTTTTGATAGCATCATATTAACACAAAATAATGGTTCAGAAAACGTAGTATATATGGAGAAGAAACGTGGAACAAAAGGAAATGGGCACAAATTAGGAGCTTCACAACTTCGTTACATGCCACACACATTACAAGTAGGTCTTCGTTAGATTAAGACCTCCTAGCTAGGTGCCCTTTTATTTGTACCTTATTTTTTTATTCCCATTACTACACGCATTTATACATGGCTTAAAACTTTAATTTTTTTAGTTCTTAGTCTCTGTTTGGGGCCCTCCTCCACTGCCGCCGCCGCCGCCACCTTTGCCTTTGCCGCCACCTTGACCTCCACCACCTTTGCCTCCTCCATGCCCACCCCCACTGCCGCCTTTGCCACCGCCATGTCCGCCACCACTGCCTCCTCCATGGCCGCCACCGCCATGTCCACCACCTACATCTTCCGGCTCGATTTCATTCTCTGCATTTTCACAAGAGACCAAAAGTGATAAATCAGCTCCATCGAAAAAAGTGAATGCACACAATTAATTATTAATATATATACATACTATACACACGAATTTTATTTACATGTCGTACCCGACCAGCGGCAACAGTAACGGCTGCAGCCATATCGGCCCCACCCACCGCAGCACCACCTATTCCGGCAGTAGCCACCACCACCACCACCACCGCCCCAGCCGCCTTGGTTGGGCTGATATGCTTCTTCGTTGGCCTCCACTTCGTTTTCTTTTTCAAACACACAAACTTATTCTATTAAATTTCTGTAGCATATAATTTAAAAAATAAAAAAATTAAGAACATCTTACCGGAATAGCGGCAACAATAGCGGTTGCAGCCATATCGGCCCCACCCGCCGCAGCACCACCTATTCCTGCAGTAGCCACCTCCGCCGCCGCCTCCTCCTTGGTTGATCTCCTTCGGCTCCTCACCTTTACCCAAAAAAAGAAAGAAAGAAAAATGGTTGTAATTAATTAATCAAACACTTCAAATTAGTTAGAAACTTGAACTATATATATATCGACCCATATATTAATTTCATCTGCTAATTATCATTAGTGGTTAATAATTTAACAATTTTGAACCTTTTATTTCATGTTGATCGGCCACAAGTTCATCTGCCAATACAGATGAAACCACAAAGATGGCCAAGGCTAAGAGAATAAGAGATTTGGACATTTTCTTCTTCACTTGTAATTAAAATGCTATAATTTGAGAAGACAATGAAGAACGTCGCTCATATGGGGCTCTATTTATAGGCAAAAACTATAATAATAAGTATTAAATTAAATGGGGGTAAAAGTAGTTAGATGTTGGAGTCGATATGCATTGAGCACCTCTTCATGACGATAAATATGTTGGATTTCTTTCTTGAATTTTTATGTGTAAGTCAGTCAAACGTACTTATCAACTTCATACGCGCACACACACACACACAAAGTACCACGGTCGACGATCGTGTGCTTCTCAAATAAAATAACAGTACGATTGCGTTACGAAACCATTTTGTCGAGGTTTGTAACTGTTAGATCCACATTACGAATTTCGTAACGAAACCGTAGCATTTCTCATGAATAGCATAGGTTAAATGAAAATTATTTAAAATAGGGTGACACCTGTTTTTATATAAACTTTATTATTTGGCATATATATGTTGTGTATATATGTTAATCTTTGATTTATTATATACATATATCAGCAAAATGAAACCAGGAATATGAACCATTTTTATGAATAAAATGAACCGAAGCGTGGAAGTCCGTGGTATTTTATTAAATTTTTGTAGAATGTATATATATAAACGGACAAAACTAACTATTTTTGGTTCCGTCTGCCGCCATTTTTTGGTTTTCGGTTATGTATAAATGTGACTTCGTTTAAAAATAATACTACTATTTATATTAAAGAAAAATTCTCCAAATAATTATATATGGTCTTGAGTAGAAATGAGCATTATAATTATAAATTATTTTACTTATATATAATCAGAATATGTAATGAACAATATTTTTTTATTTTATAAATTTAAGGAATTATAACCAATTAATTAGTTAAAAAATATTTATTTATAACAACTATTTACGTAATTTTAATATTTAAGGGATTGATTATGTCATTAATATCAATAAAGTATTTAAAAACTCGCCTAATGTGATAAAAATAAGGAGATACTATTAATTTTAAAATATATATAGCATAATGAAAATGTTTTGCAATAGTTCTTTTATTAGTGTGTAATTTTCATAAAACTTTTTAATGTAAATTTATATTACTAATCATTATTATTATAAAATAGTTAAAAACCATTTTTACAATTAATTAATGTAAAATATAAAAAGTTATTTTTCATAATTAAATGAAAAATAGTTTTTATATCTTCAACAAGTTCATCACTCTGGATTGAGTCAGCCTGCTTTGTGTGAAACTCAATTCGCAATACACGGTAGTTAGACACGTGTCTTCCTCTCTTTAAATAGTGGCACTTTACTCTCGGTTTGTGCGATAGACATGCATGTTATTAAATGGAAATGTTACGGTCCCGTTACGGAACCATTTCGTTGGGGGTTGTAACCGTTAGATCAACTATCCCCGACGGTTACATTATGATCTAACGGTTACAAACATCGACGGAATTGTTCCATAACGGGACTGTAGCATCTCCCGTTATTAAAAATAGAAAACAAATGTCAAAAAATCTTAAATATTATCATTTTTTTTTTCTTTTAGTTTACTTTAGTAATATGAATTTGAAAACTATTTTCAACAATTAAAAGTAAAGCTTTAATACGTCATACAGAATAATATCATTGTACTAAGAATCGTGATAGGCGCCCCTAAGCCGCGACTAAGTCGCCCCGATTTTCTCCTAGACAGCGCTTATAAGCGCTCGGGAGACGCATAGGCGGGCTACGCGCCTCCTACCCTAGGTGGTTGCGAATAGGCAGTCTAGGCAGCGACCTAGGCGGTCCTGGCGCTTCCTAAGTGCTTGTATAATTTTTTTTTATTTTTTTAATATATCAATAACAAATTTTAATTGTTGTACATGTACAATAATTATTAAATATAAAAAAATTATTATATTAAATTAATATAATCAATAATAAGTATATAATTTGTTTTTAAAAAATTGTATTTAACAATACATTAGTACATTTTATTATATATAGTTTGTAAGTTTTTTTTGTTCTTTATTTTTTTTTTTTTTGTCGAAACGATAAATATAGTTTGTAAGTGTTTTAGTTTGTAAGTTAAAAATACGACTTATATAAATAAATGTATTATTACCTTTATGACCCGCCCAAGCCCGAATAATCCTCTGCCTAGGCGCTAAGTCCAGCCTGCCACCTAGCGAGCGCCTAGCGTCTTTTAAAACCTTGCGAAATACACAGGTAAATGAAGGGCATAAATTCAAAAAAAAGTGGAATGCCTACGCCTCAAGTCTTCCCACATAAGAGTTAACGAAGAGCCGAGGAATATGAAAACTTCACTAATGGGAAAAATAATTAATATCTATCTACATAATTGATAACAAAGCAATTAATAAAAATATTTTAATTTGCTTCCAATAGACGTTACAATTTATACAAATGACGTTTTCCCGCTCTTTTAGATTAATTACGAAAATTGAATATTTTTGAACTTATTTATCACATAACATTTACTGTTAATATTAATCAATTATTAATTCAGACTAAAAGTTTATGCAAATTATACACTTGGAAAAATTATAGAAACTTCTTTTCTTAATTTTTTTTTAAAATTAATATCATCATTTTATTTTTTATATTATTAAACATCTTTTTTTTTTTTTCCAAAACGACAGTGATTAAGAAGCTTTTTCAATAGCTATTGTTGTAATGGAATAGCAAACCTCGTAAAATTGTATAAATAATTTCAATAATAATAACAATTTAATATTTTTCACGCAACTATTTGGTATGGATCCCTTAATTCTGTAACTACATTACCTTATAGTTTATGCATTGTTTATGGTGATTCATACATGATAAAATAGTTTTATCATTATATATTTTATTTTTACTAATGATCAAGTTTATAAAATACGATATGCATATTATATAATTTATAATTATAAATATGAAATTGATATATACAACTTATAATATTTTATTTGTATTTGTTCATATGCACATTTGATTACTAATATGTGTAAAGTGAAGGAACTTAGAGGAAAAAAATTCATCCAAACTACATTAATTAACTAGAAAAAACAATTGTCAACTTCTACATAAGATTTATTGTAATTATATAATATTCTCCTGTCGTTTTGAAAAAAAAAATACATAAGATTTATTATTAAAGTAATAATTACGATTGTTTATTATAAATAAATTTATATAAAATTATGCATTGAGAACTTGTACTCTAATTCTCATGGTCAAATAAATTTTAAAATTAATTTATTAATTACAATGTAGATGATTCAAAAAAAAAAAAAAAGTTGCTATAAAGACTTATTTTACAAATAATTTTTTAGTTTAAATTTGAAACTTCACTTTTCTATTAAGTTTTTTTGTTATTTTCTTTCTTTGTGAATCATATTGTGCATTGTGTGTGTGTGTGTGTGTGAAGTTGCTTGGAGAAAAATCCCTCCACAACATTTACTGTGTAGAACTAAATTTTATTAATTTATAAGTATGATATATCATTAATATAATAAGTATAATAATTATTTGTTTAAGTAAATAATTAAGTTTATACATAATTATGGATTAAGAACTTCCACTCCAATTTCCATGGCTAAAAAAAGTTGAAATAAGTTTATTACTTTTATTACAACAAAACATATTGTTTACTACGAAAGATTTAATTTAAAACTAAATAATTATTTAATTTGAATTATAAATTTTACTAATTATACTTTTTTTCTCTTTGTGAGTGACATCATGTTTTTGCTACAAATAAATACTTAATTTTGACACATAATTATAAACTTCCATTCTAGTTTTCATTAATTAATTTTTTTCTTTCTTTATTCCTCTTTTTAGGCGTAAGTTCATTCTCTTATATTTTTATTTTTAATTAAAAAATACATGACACAATCTAATTGAATAATTACTAAAAAAAAAATAAAGTACTGTATTATTTATAATAATTTTTTTCAGAACACATGACACAAACTCATTTATTTTAGAATTTTTTATGTTTTTTTTTTTTTGAGAAAATTTCAATGTAAAATATAGAATTTATTTTCCATGTGATATCCGCATACAATATAACAAATAAATAATTTTTTATATGATTTTACATTTGATATTTATATTTCAAATAATATCGAAAAAGTTTTGAATTTATTGCATCAATTTATGATACAGAGTTTCATTTGACAGATGTTAAGTTATGAATATTTCTATAATAATAATACCATGTCACGTTTGCACACACTATTATAATAACAAAAAATTATAATTAATATCGCAAACATTATCGCCAACGAGCTCATTTTCATTTGATCATTAAACGATCCTAATTTTATGTTCGAACTCGAAGCAATCAAGAAACGAACGAGCTGTTATCAAACTTGAACGAAAAGCTCACAAACGATCGGTTCATTAACAGCCGTAATATGAGAATATCATTTCAGGAAACATTCATTATTCCAGTTGCAGATATTTTATCTAAATGCTATGGATCTCTCTTGAATTATGATCAGAATACAAATTGACCCCAAAAGATTTACAATACAGCCACATGTAACTTGCCTAAAGCTCAAACGCCAAAACAGAAAATGTTTGAGCCGCTGCTTATCTCTAGCCGTTCGCCATTTTGCCGAACATAATTATTCTCGGAAGGTCAAATCAGTACAATGTGCTGTCATTTTGCACTTTTATCTATTCCCTACAACTACTGCAACATCTAATTATGTACTAAGTTATTTAGCAGTCTTAGTATACATGGAAAAAATACCTTTTCTCCAGCCAAATATAAGCACGATCTTCCACAAAACCCGTATCGAACTTCCCGGAGGACAGCCTCGAGTCAAAGCAAGAATAATTACCAAATTTCTCCCTCGATCTCAAAACGCAATTGAGTTAAATAAAGAAGTTATATCTGCGGGTTATACCAGCTAGTAGACCCGAATAAATAGCCAGATATGTCCTCCACACTAGAGTCCTTGGTGCTGTCCGTGCTGTACGAGCCGGCATCTGATGTGCTGAAAATGGATGAGCTGTCACTCGATGATGAGTCGAGTAGTGATTTGCTTTTGTGTAATCCCCAGCCCTTGGGGCCCACCGCATGGTCCCCATTGAAATCATTTGGAGACATCCAGTGATGGTGTTTCCCAGAAACCTCATGGGGCGACGTGGGGCCCGCATACCGGCAGGAGGAGTTTGGTTTTATCTTCGTATTCTTTTTCTTTGAATTGTTACCGGAGGAGATTGCTTCCGTATTTCTCTTGGTTTTCATGTCATAATGATTGCTGGTGCTCCGAACCAACGATGCGCCTCGTGGGGAATGCCTTTGAAAAAGTGGTTTTTGGAATTTAATTGAACTTTTTTTTTTTAAAGCAAGTAATTTACTTGGAAACAATTTTATTTTTTTTTTTTCCTGAAAAATTCTAACCTTACCTTGCATAGAAGAGAATGTAAGCTTCAACAGATAACACGGTCTCCAGATCCACGCGACTTACCTAAAAGGAAGATCCGTGTTGAGTACACTTGCCCCGAAGAGAAGGAAAACCCAAATTTAAAAATAACAACATAATAATTGCACAACAGTTTAGAACATACCAGGCTATCGTCAATTTTGAACCAATCCCCATGGAAATCTCTGACGTAACTCACATAGTGACCACTGTAAGCAGCATTCTTTCCCAAGTGGACGACCACGGCATAAAGCTGGTATATAGGGCACTTGTCGTTCATCCCACTCATATATGGAGAAAGGTTAAGAACCTCAGGAAATTTTACATGCTTATTCAACTTTTCTAAGTTTCCTGCCTGCCAAGAGAATTAATTGAAAGATTTAAATTCATGAATTAAGATGATTAGATATGCTGCTTCAGTGAGAAATGAATGATTACCCGAAATCGTTTGAGAACGACCGTAAGAACGTTAGGGGCCTCAAGAACAGTCAATTTCTTCTTAGCCTTCTCATAGGACTTGCATCTGCCAAAGAAAACATTATCAGGAGCACTGAACAACATTAAGCATCACCAAGAAACTAAGTAATCGATCCGGTTTTATGCATCCAGTTTCTTACATATTTTTTGCTCAAGTTTAACATCCTCAAGTAATTTTTACTTGTATCTCCAGTTCCTTTCAAATTCAATATTTCAAGAGAGAAGTATATGACATAGATAAATTGTTTTCGAGTTTTGAGTCACAATATGCTTTCGCAAGGTTATGCAATCTCATCGGCCATCACTGTTTCCTAAGGTCACGGAAACTGGAGACTGATAACCAGAATAAAGCATTCGAAGATTAAAGTAACCATAAATATCATAAACTTCAAGAACCAATTCACTCCACATGAGAGAAATTGACACACCTACTGCATTTATACTTATCATCTCCTCCAAGTGTCTCAGACATCGTGAATTGCATGAGAGCATCTTCAAGAGTACATATACTCCCATCAATCTCCACAGTAAGATCCATCATTCGGTCAAATCTTTCAGATCTCCCCGAACACTTCATACACTTAATCTGGCAAATGAAGTTGTTAGCAAAAAACACGATAACATACATCAATGTTAAAAACTCATAGTAACGTGTAAGCAAAAGCATCAAACAGAGACTGGTGAACTTCAGGGTTTTAAACATATCAACATAAGAACATACCTTGGACCGGAGATAGCCCCCAAAAGTCAGACCCATAAGGGTTGAACCTTCAGATAGTGAACCAGAGGCACCAGCTTCCTCAAGGCATATGGATTGCATTTTGTCTACCACATTTCTGATATAACATTAAGATTACTTTTGTCAGCTTACTCATTTAAGTTTTTTCTTTTTCCTCCACAAATCAATAATAAAATTCAATCAGATACAAGCCTTAAAAATTCATGTGCGTCTTCTTCTCTCCCAATCGGCTGTATTTGAGACAGTAATCCAACAGGAGATAAAGGAGAGTCCATTGCTTGTCCCTTCTGAATTAGATGTTCGAACGTACAGATAAAGCACCAGTCCGTCTTTCGACCTAAATATATATTGTATATATTGTAACAGAAGTGGGTATGAGAAAATAATGATCTTTGCAGTTTAATGATAAGTGGCGAATCATAAAGTGATACTTGCATGTTTTTGAATGCACCCGGTGAAGAAGATAAGAAGCTATCGGCCGAGTAAAAGTCAAACATTGCAGCACAGCATTTGCATAACAGCTGCACGTAAAATAATAATCAGTTCCACCAATCAAGAAACAAGGTGTTCCCATATGTTGGCACAAATCAACAGAAAGAAATATGTATTAGGAATTTTGCAGCATAAAAGGCCAGTATGGTGCCCACACATCATAATTCTTTTCTAAACCTCAATGCATGTTCACCTATTTATGTCTTCTAGCAAAAAGTTTGATACCGGCTGGGGGTGAAAAGAAAAGGAAAAAGAAAAATAAAAACAATTTATAGGTCAAATGACACTTTAAATTACAGCAAAGCTTTACGGGAAAAGAGACAACTAAGAAAGCTGGTGGACACTAAACCCAGTCTTGACAGGAACGCAAGTTCCAATCATACTCCAAGAAGAAAAGCATGAAATCCCATAAGAGGTAAGATATATCAACAAGGATCCTGAAACCCCTGCCCTGGTACGTCAAAATTAAAAAGCAGCAGAACAGATACAATTCACACATACATCTAACAAACGACAAGACCTTGAAGATCAGAGCTACACAAAGATACACACAGAGCACCTGAAGCTGCTATAACAAATTGACACACATAAAATAGAGAAGCAGAATCCAGTAAAAGCCCAGAATAAAATTTGATCAATCATGTGCCACCCACCTATTTCCGCAGTTGACAAGGCCGTATGGATGGAGTTCCACATCATCACAAGAATACAACTGCATGAAAAGCTTGATGGGAAATATGATCTGCTGAAAAGATAACATGATAAAAGTGATCAGCAAGACCGAAGAATGCTAAAACCAAGAGATCTAACATTCAAAGAAGAATTTAACAGCAAAGCAACCTTGTGATTGTATGGTCCACCCAAGTCCTTCACCATATTTGACTGCTTTGGTGCTTTAAAATGTTGCACAAATTTCCGTACAGATGTTTTTAGACTTTTGCTAATATCTTCTGGCATATTTCGAACACCTTCAATCTCCGAAGAAATTACATGATGATTATCAGCTTTCATAGGCAACTTCTGACAATTGCCAGTACTCATAGTTGTTGGCATTGATCTGGCTACATTACTATAGCAGACTTGGGATTCCCTTCCCAAGTACTCATCTGAAGGCGGCATCTTCAAAGATTTGGAGCATTCCAAATAAGATTCAACGTTTGGCATACCACGGTTACCTGGAGACCTAATGGATCTTGTCACTTTATTGGCAGATAACTGAGCTAAATTTTTCCATTGTTCAGCTGAAGATGCCCTTGCAGCAATGGAGGATCTTGCACTCCTCAACTCATTTCCACCCTGCCCAAACTCTTCCAGCACAGCAACTCCATCTCCTTTTCTTTTATCTCTAGTGTTAGTTGACCCGAGGCTTTCATCAGCCTTAGTCTTCTCCATCTTGCTACCACCGGGTGTGTGATTTTTAGAATAAACAGGTGGTGATGGGTTCGGCACATCCGCATCACCAGACAAAGATATAGGTTTTGACATGTGAGAACGGGTACAAACCGCAGGTGCTTTATCAAGCTGGATAGAAGTTCCAAACTCAAGAACCTCGCTGGTAGATGCATCAAATGATGATTCACTACATTCGATGGAAGAATAGAAACAAGACGATGAGCTACTTGAAGATCGAGAATCATTAAATTCTTGACTGGCATCAGAACACATCTTCACTTCATTTTGCAAGAGAGTTGCAGATAGGTTTTCTGAAGCTGTTTCCATATCATATCCACTTTCATAGCCAGCACCCGGTGAAGTTGCTGGCCGACACTCATCCTTATGACCTTGTCTCCAGTGGATTATTTGGCACTTGCCAGAACTAACGAAAAAACAGAAAAAAGGAAATGAAAGTGTGAACTTCAGGAGAAAGGAGCAACCAAATGAGAAGCAAAAGTGATTTTTTTATTTTTTATTTTTAAAAGAAACCAACAAAATACCACGAGGTATCTTCAATATTCATTACTATCTCAGGTTAATCTGTACTCTCTGAATATGGGAAATAAATCTCTCATGTCCAATTGAAGTTTGCACTCAACAATAGCATTTTCCCTCTGAATGGTACAATAGGGTGTAAATTCCCATCAGAATAAGACTTAGATTGTTTATTAGATATCAAACTCTAGCAATCACCTCACAGGTCTTATTAATAAAATGAACGAGTACACAAGACATTACAATAATTGAAAAGTTTTGGCTTCTTAAGTTTTGTTAACTTTTTATTTCTGGTACAACCAAGTGGCAAGTACATAATTCATAGTAAAAAACTGTGCTCACAGATTCACATGAGTGTCTTAAGGATATCTGTTTCAACAAATATTTTTTGTGTGAATGTGCGTACTTGCTGCATAGCTTCCACTAACAATCAACGTGTTAAAAGGTTTTCACATGTGAGAAAATACAATTAAAAACTCATGAAGAACAGTTCACAGGTAAAAGGTGAGAATACATGTAGAAATAGCATAAGCCCCTGACTGCACCTAGGCGCCGAGTCTGGACAAATTATCTTATTAAAATGTTCTTCAAAATTTGCTAAAGGAATAACACTTAACATCAACTGCTAAGACAGGACTAAAACCCAAATTGGAAGTAACAAGAAAAAAAATAAAAGAAAAGAATATCAGAAAAATAAAAGCAAATATCAGACATCACCAGAAAATCATGATCCTAAATGAATTTGACAGGCATAAGACAAAGCTTAGTACTGATATAAGATGGAAAAGTGTCGGTGTGAAATCCCTGGTACTCTAATTAACTTAATAAGGAAAGAGGAAGATGCACAAACAACTGTCAGAGACACCACGCAGGTATCATAATTTATAATCAACCCTGAAGCTCTTCATTTAATGAGCGGTCATTGTAATTAATTCGCGTAAAGGAATGATTTAAATATATAGCTTTGAGGTAACACCAGTATCCTGTTAACTAGATGAAAAGCTAGCATACAATCCAGAAACTAATCAATTCGTTAAACTTCAGCTCTTTAATTTTACATATACATATCCTCTGCCATGATTTTTTTCCTTAAGAAATGGAGAATATCTCTTTGCGTCTTTAGACAGTGCCAATTCAGACGCACATCAAACTAGATCCATATTAAAATACTAAATAGCCACTGCTTTTCTTTAACATGAAAAAGGTGATTAGAGGATGCACACATCAGCGTCAAAATGAACAAATAAATCTGGAAATAAATCGATAGTATGTATATATACAAATAACATTTTTCTGAAAATTTTGTTTCTTACTTGCTCATAAAACAACTAGTTTTCACATTTCCATCTTCCTGGTATCAATATAAAGTTGAAACAAAGCAGTCCAATGTTTAGGATGACAGTGCCTCTGATTGTTGTCTCTAATTTCCATAGCTTAATATTTTCATGCTAATAATCCCCCCAACACATAAGGACTTCCCAGAATCTCATGAAATAAAGCTCCCAATAGATAGCCATATTTTTTTCCCTTTCAAAGGATTACTGAAGAACAGTGATAAGCAAGTTTACCATTTTAACCACTCATCATGATTCTGCTTACTGAGCACTTGCTCTATTTTCACTACAATAAATCTTGTGATCTTCAATCACCCGTTGCACGTGGATATCTTCGACCCTTTACCAATTTAAACAACTTCCAATACGTAAACCGCATAAATTACACTACCCATGGCCCTAAATTTTTCGAATCGGACCACAATCACTCCTAAACTGAAAATCCACATTCACAACCATAAAAAGGCAACCTTTGAGCAGTCAAGTACCGAATCGAACAACAATCAATCCTATATTTTAATCCGGAATTCAAATCATTAAAAGGGCAATCGATGAGCGACAAATTTTACTCCAGAAAAATGGCGTAGGCAAAGACAGTACTCACCAGTATCTAGCAGCTTTACACCGTGAGCACCTTGTAGTGGTGGGGCAATGACAAACGGCACAATAAGATTGCCTTTCCAGCTGCGGATGAGGAGTCGGAGGTGAATTGTACTCTTCAAAAGATTGAAGCCTAGCAATTTTTTCCTCCTCTTCCGAGGCTACAGCAGCTAGCCTCAAAATCTCCTCCTTCTTGGCAGCCCCATTTTTCCACTTGAATCGAACTACGAGGCCGAAAATCAGTAAGATTCCGACAATCACTAGCATTGAATATTTCTGATACCAGTTCAATTAACCGGCGGCGAGAACTAACACGGAGCTAAACAAAAACCTTGGAAGCCGAATCTTCTTGCAATTCATAGGGGTTAGAAGTGACGGCGACGGCGACGGCGGCGGCGGCAGATGGTGGCGGAAGGTTAAATATAGGGAAGATGCGAAAGGGAATTTTGGTAAGTGGAACGGGAAATACACCCAAATCAAGAGAGAATAAAAGAAAGTAACGTACAGATAGAGATTAGAACCTGTTTGGTTGGGTGGGAATTTTCACACCTTATATTTGCTTTTTTTCCTTTTCCAACTTTTCTCTTTTTGTTTAATTTTGTTTGTGTTTATTATTTTGATGATTCTCGCAAAATATTAGCCTACATTTTGTGTTCAATTATTGCCAAAAACAAATTGTACTCGAATCACTTGAATATATTACATCGGTTTTGCTATGAATCAAATCGGCAAGTCAATCTTCTATATATACCAAGGAGATCATATCATATTTTTTGATTACCTAAATAACATTACTAATTTTATTAATATGGTACTACCTCCTTTTTTAAATAAATGTCGTTTTGACTTTTTTGATTCATCCATTTTGCTATGTATCTAGACATTAATATGTCTAGATACATAGCAAAATGGATGAATCAAAAAAGTCAAAACGACATTTATTTAAAAAAGGAGGGAGTATGATTTATTTGATGTATATAGAAAGTTGGTTTCACTATGGAGCTAACTGTTGGCTTTATAACAAAATTATATATTACAATATTCTTTTACCAAAGCAAAACAACTATTACATATTAAAAAAAAGTTACCTATTGCTAAAACAAAATTACTATAGATGATTTTCTGGTTTCTTTAGGAAAATTTTTCAGTATTATGTATCATTGAATCACTAGGGGTGCTTGTGTACAAAACAAATTCATTCACGTTCAATTTATACTCAAAATTTAACTCAACTTTAACTTAATTTCAATATCTTTAATATTAACCATATAATTAAATAATACAAACTAATTATTCTTACACATCACATCAATTTTATTTCACTATTCATCCACTCACATAATTTTAACTAACTATCACTTTATATCATCTCTCTCATACATTTATATCAAATTAACTTTAATTAATTTATTTTAAATATGATTTTAATATAAATTTAAAATCTCACTAACAACTAATCATACCATTTTTTTTCAAAATTAACTTTAATTAACAAAATAAAATCATTTTGAACGGATTAATTTGTAACAAGCATGTCCTAGAACACTACTCATTGAATGCACGGGTATACAGTACAAATAAATTCTTTTTCAATTATTAGTAAAGTCTTTTTCAGTTTGGATTCAATACTGGAATGATGAAGTCTATCATGAATGCAGATGAATAAATTCAATCTTTCTATCATGGAATTGATAGTTTCAGATATTTTAGGTCTTGACATAAATTATATTTATGCATCGAGTTAATAGTTTACCAATGTTTCAAAACTTACACTTAGGGATGTGAACAAGTCGAGTCGAGTCGAGTGTAGGTTGTTGTATGCGTGCTTCGAAAGTCGGAAGCTCACTTGAAGAACAGAAATACCCATGCCCAAGAAGTAATTTGTTCCATCAAGTATGTCATGCATTTTTGTCGATCCTTCAAATTCGATCCCTTGGAGGACTTGTCTGTCGATCTCTCTGTAAATGTGAGCGCTGACAAACTGAACTAGTAAAAGCCACCGAAGTCGGTAAAGCCGTCGCCAATTGGTATTGTCTTAACACTCAATCGATCTTGTCCTACAGAACTGAGAATATTCTCATTCTCAAAAATCAAATTTCTTCATGCCATCATGCGTCGATTACCTTTCCGCTAAGTTGGCAAGTTGCCTCATCGTATTTTATATTTTTTTTCACATAAAAATAAGGCATCTAGCACCACATAATCAACAGGGATCACAACACATAGCAAGCTCATATCAAAGAGTTCATTACAAGCTCAAACACAAAAGCCATCATTGTAACAAAAACTCTTTGCAGATCATTTTTCTAGAGAATTCACTCTCCTTGCCGATCTCCAACAGATCGGAAAAATCACATGTGCTCTTTATTTTCATGCTTCTTCATTCCAAGATAGATTAATTTACATTAGGCCCTCATATAAAACAAATCTAAAAAACTCTTACTTTCATAACTAAGAATCATTAGCACTCCAACTTATGACGATACATAAACAAAGATTCAACTTATGGCACCCAACATGCGACGATTGTTTGTTTTGTTTTTATGCTTATTTTTATGTGTTTATTTGAGCTATCGAGTCGATTTTAGGTTTGTTTTAGTGTCGACCGATCCATTTTATCGTTTTCCGTGTGTTTTTGCATCTTTCTTTTTATTTTATATTTTGGCGTACTTTTCTGTACCTTTGGTATAATTTCAGGTTTATTTCGAGGATAGAGAAAGAGAGTCGAGCCATATTCTGAAATCCGAATCAATTCCGAGTAGTTTCAAGCCATTTCGTACGAGTTATACTTATTTCTAAACCGAGAAGTTGGAGCCTTAGTCGAGAGCCCCGTGCGCACGCGGAGCGTGCCGCGAGATCGAGAGCACCATTGCCGCCGTCTACAGCTGCCAGAAGCCCGCGCGCTCGAGAAAGTCCCCGCGAGCTCGAGAGTGTCGCGCCACCGCAGCCAAACACACTCTCGCGAGCTTGCGGGCTGAGTTGCGACCTCGAGAGTTCCCCCATGCCCCCACTCGCACCCTCGCGGAAACGGGCACGAGTTCGAGAGTGCTGCATGCTCCGCGCGACCCTAGCTTACCGCGCGCTCGCCGACTGCCATGCGAGCTCGAGAGTGCTGCGACTCTTCACGCCAACGCAAACTCGCGACCTCGCGACACTCCTGGCGACCTCGAGAGTGCTGATTCTCGCGTGTGCCCGTGCCGATCCTTGCTGCGAGCTCGCGAAATTAATGGAGACGTCGAGAGCGTCTCATTTAATGTGTGTTTTTCTAGTGTGTCCTTGGGCTAGAGTATAAATATTTTTCTTCATTTGTATTTTGGACATCCACTACTCATTATTTCATTTTTCCTTTTTGGGAACTTGGCTTATGTTTTATTTTGCTCTCTAGACTAGGAGCTTATGCTATTTTATGAGAGATTTTCCGGTGACTTTGGTTTCTTTCAAGTTTTAAGCTTTTTTTTTCGGTACAAAAGAGGGAGGCCAAAGGCCTAAGCGCTCGAAACTAAAACACGTCGTGGATGAGATACCCCGCGACCATCATGATCGAGCCAAGCTCCCAGGCTCGGGGGGTGAGTCGATAATTTGCTCAAACCTAATGGAGATGAGAAAGCGAGCCCCGCCAAATGATCTGCCACATAGTTAGCCTCTCGATGCACATGTTGGATGCGAATGTGCCATTCCCTCTCAACCAAATCCCTAATAGCCCGAATAATAGAATCGTGGACCCCAAAATGCTGACCGGAGCCATTGACCATCTGAACTACGCATCTGTTTTTCATCGTCTACACAATGAAAGGATGAGTATTTAGTTTTAAAGCTCTTTACTTCGATATTTGCCTCATTTTTACTAATAATGTTTATTAGGGTAAATTTAGATTTGATTGATGATGGAGGAAAAGTCGGGACTTGATTGCTTGCTTGAGCAGATAGAGGAGTTAATTGCTTGTTGATCTTGTTTAAGGATTAAGACCCGATTAAGACTTAATCACTTAGGGTTAGAGGACTAGGGTTAGCGATCTAGTGCTCATAGCTCGTTTATTCATTTTTGCCGTTGATTATCATCTCGTTGTGGTTATGGCATGAGACTTCGATGGTCTAGTTTGCTACTTGCTCGTGATTTGATATTTCTCTTAGTTAATTGCTCGTTTTCTAGTGCTCGTTTAGTGATAATCAAACCTCCAATCCAATTGCTTAGAATGTTTAGGACTTTATCATCTCTTTTTTTTTGTGTTTTGGGACGATCAACTAGTAGATAAAGCTCTGAATCCCCTTCTCTCGAGATCGACCTGAGTCGGGTAACTCGGTTATCCTTTGCCCACCAAATCTTTGCTAAACAACGATCCAACATATGGTGATCCATCTGAAAACAGATTAACCTTCATGTGAAGACAACTATGTCGACAAATTTCTTATGTCGATCCCGTTCATGGCGATTCAATTCTCAACAATCCAACTTGTGATGATCCTTTCAAGTACGAGCATCTCCTTCTACAAAAACGATCATGTCGAAGAATTTTCCTGAATTATCAAAAATTCGGATGATCTCCGCCCAAGACGATATATAAATCAAGGCAATCAATTTTCCTTCAACAATATAATTGGATGAATTCAACCAAAAAAAAAAAGATGTAAAAATAGACGACCCTCTAAAATCCCTTAATTCGCCAAAAATCAGCAAAATGTTCTTTTGCCTCCTCAAAACCCCGAATACTAAAAAACATAAAGATACAAACTCATCACAACCAACAAAAATACCATTTTTCAGGAAAAACTTAGATTCAAAGCTCATACTCCCTGTTAGCGCCGACCTTAGTCCACGACACCGTCAAGCATAAACTCAAATACTCACATCTCAAGGTAAAAGTGTTGATCTTAGGCCACATTTTTACCGCTCGAGATCACACTCCCGGTCATCGTCGAACTTAGGTCGTAACACCATCGAATATAAACTAAAAAATTCTCATATTAAAGTAAAGGCGCAAATATTAGGCCACATTTTTACCGCTCGAGATCACATTTCCAGTTAGTTCCAAGCTTAGGCCACAATACCATGGAGTATAAACTCAAAAACTCCCATCTCAAGGTAAAAGCGTCGATCTTAGTACACACTTTTATCACTCAAGATCACACTCTCGGTTAATATTAGGCCACAACACAGTCGAGTATAAACTCAAAACTCTCGTCTTTTTGGTAAAACGCCTATTATTTGGTCCACACTGAGCAAACGAAGATCTAGGCTCTACTATATCGAAACTTTAAAATATATTTAAGGCCCAAAAAAGTCTTTCAAAATTACTCCTAAAATATAATTCTTTTTTTAAATGAAACAACTTCTAAAAAGTCACAATCGCATAGTCTGCCAATACGACGTCTAATTGTCCAGACGCTTAAAATGGACGAAGGGTCGTCCTAAAAAAAATCGAAGTTTCCGAATGCCACCTAGCATCTAGCCAGTTTTCATAGTTTGGTGCGGAAAAATAATTTGGCCCAAAATTTAGGTTAAACAGCCAATCATTCCTTCTAAGCGGCCACAAGAATAAAAATTATTCAAGACATACAAGTCTTAGGCTATGTTTGGTAAAACTAGCTGATAAGCTAGCTCATAGCTGATAAGCTAGCTTATAGCTTATATGTAATTTTTGAGCTTATAGCTTATAGCTTATGACTTATAGCTGAAAAGCTAGCTTATATAATAAAAGTGTTTGGTAAAATGAGCTGATAAGCTAGCTGGAATAAAAAATTCAACTAGCTTATTTGAAAAGCTACCTAAACAAGCTTGTCAAATAAGCTCGAGCTTTTTAAATAAGCTCGTCCTACCAAACGGGGCTTATTTAAATACAAGAAGCTTATAAGCTAACCAAATAAGCTATAAGCTAGCTTATTTGGTTTACCAAACATACCCTTAGATGGCAAAACATCATAAATATGAGCTAAAACTTGAAAAATTAACTGGTACATGAAGAACCACCGGGCCGTGCCGCCGTGCGACTGTTGTCACTGAACAATATTAGGGGTGGGCCTAAGTTGCCAAAATATTCCGACTAAAAATTATTCATACCATTGATCACAGCTTAATTTGAATTAGTACTTCCAACAAAATAATTGAAAACATATAGTAAGAATTTTCCTAGTCAAGTGTGTCGCTTCACATTTTTTATATTTTGACCCTAAAGTTTGGCTTAAATTATTGAAGAATTCAGCAACAAACCCGCGTAAAAAGTTGGAGACCAACATGATTGGTTATCAAACAAAAACACAAAACTAATTTTAATTGGTCAACAGATAGAGGGCCTTCACTTTCCCCCTTATTTCCCCCACCTTTTTATCACTCTCTATATATATATATGGAAAATTCTTACCTCAAAATCACTCAAACAATTTGTTCAAATCAATTTCCCAATCTTTGGATTTGATTTTGTATTTCTCATCATTTAATTTAAAAAAAAAAAAAAAATGGGTTTAAAGGGTTTTTTTGAAGGCGGCGTTGCTTCTATTGTGGCCGGCTGCAGCACCCATCCACTGGATCTAATCAAGGTCCGTATGCAGCTCCAGGGCGAGGCGGCGCCGGCGCCGGCCGTCCAAAACCTCCGCCCTGCTCTGGCCTTCCAAACAGCCACCGCGGCCCACATCCCTGCGCCCCCTCCCCGCGTCGGTCCCGTCGCCGTCGGCCTCCGCATCGTGCAGCAGGACGGCGCCGCCGCCCTCTTCTCCGGCGTCTCCGCCACCGTCCTCCGTCAGATGCTCTACTCCACCACCAGGATGGGCCTCTACGACATCCTCAAGGGCAAGTGGTCAGACTCCCAGACCAACACCATGCCGCTTGCCAGCAAAATCGCCGCCGGACTCATCGCCGGCGGCGTCGGCGCCGCCGTGGGGAACCCAGCGGACGTGGCCATGGTCCGGATGCAGGCGGACGGCCGCCTCCCGCTGGAGCAGCGGCGGAACTACCGGGGCGTGGGGGACGCGATCTCCCAGATGCGGAGGAAGGAGGGGATCGGCAGCCTGTGGCGGGGATCGTCCCTGACGGTGAACCGCGCCATGGTGGTGACGGCGGCGCAGCTGGCGTCGTACGACCAGTTCAAGGAGGTGATCCTCGGGCGGGATCTGATGGCCGACGGCCTCGGGACCCACGTGGCGGCGAGTTTCGCGGCGGGGTTCGTTGCGTCGGTGGCGTCGAACCCTGTGGACGTGATAAAGACGCGGGTGATGAATATGAGGGTGGAGGAGGGGGCGCCGCCGCCTTACAGAGGGGCGGTGGACTGCGCGGTGAAGACGATAAGGGCGGAGGGGCCGTTGGCTCTCTACAAAGGGTTTATTCCAACGATTTCGAGACAAGGGCCCTTCACGGTGGTGCTGTTTGTCACTCTAGAGCAAGTCCGCAAATTGTTTAGGGATTTTTAGGAGCAAGCGAAGAGGGATTATTATTTTTTTATTTTCTTGAAAAGATATATTCTTTATATTAATTAATTCATTTTAAATGAATAGTGATATAAGTTAAGAAAAACGTCAAAAATATTGTAAATATGTGGAATTAACCACATTATCCTATTATTATTATATTAATATGTGTATTGGTATGTGTGCCAAAATTTGGCTATAAAATGGCACCATATGTAGTTCATTTTTGTGGTACAGATACGAAAGTGAAGTGAAAGCAAAGTATAATTTGTTCCAGTTTTTATACATTGTGTTCTTTATATTCCCGTATTTCATAACAAAAAACTTATTTTTTTCTTATATGTATTTTCTGATAGAAAAAAGATGTTACGTTACGGAAATATTCCGTCGGAGTTTGTAACCGTTAGATCAACTATCTCTGACGGTTACGTGATGATTTAATGGTTACAAATTCTGACGGAATTGTTCCGTAACGGGACCTTGGCATTTCCAAGTTTGCACAATTTGAAATGAGTGAGTATTGCAACATGTAGAATTGTCTTTTACAGTGAGATGTACAATTGTGATATATCATAATAATTTGAAAACCTAAGCATCAAGATAAACTGGACAATTAATCAAAAAGGGACACGAGCACGACCACTAGTCGAGTCGTCAGGGTTAAAAATTTACGGGGGTCATAAATTGTTATCTTCCAATCCAACTGAGAACTCTTACTGGTGTTAACTGTGTTATAGTATTTTGTAGGATATAAATTTATTTCTTGAATATATGACTTATTCCCCCTATGTATTAATTCAGAACGTGCTGAGACTACGTGGCTTCTTCTGGCGCTTCGGAATCCTATGTGGCAAAATTACATGCTTCGTTATTAGGCTTAGGTAAATTTTAATTTAATTCCAAATCAAAAATAATTAGGTTCGAATTACCATAAATATGTTGATTATTTATAGTCATGTTACATGTATTAATTACATTTCAATATCATTCCTTATTATAACTATTGAATTGTATATATATTTTAAAAGTTAATAACTTTTGTATTTTTTATCAGTTTTATATATGTAATATATCAAATTAATCGTCTTTTGATGAGCTTCGATTTAACATCTATATTGTATGTATAAAAAAATTAATTTATATTTATCTTTATAACAATAATAATTTTTTTTAATATTAATTAGAAAAATAAAATTATTTATCAACTAATATATTTATATTTCAAATAGTTATATGATATAAGTTATAAAAACTAATATAATATAACACATGTGAGTCATAAATAACAAATATCATTCTAAAATATAAAGTAATATAATTTTTTTGCAGTAAAGTAAACTAGTTTTTTATAGTTTTTTCATTAATTTTAAAATTTAAGAATAATTTTACAAACACCCGTGTAATACACGGGCCTTGTACTAGCAAGGTTTAAAATCTTAATGACATATCTTTTATAATATAATTCAAATTAGATTCACGTTTGTAAGGGATTCAATTAACTTGGTAAAAGTTCGTGAAATTGATCAATTTCAAAACAAAAATGATGGAAAATAATAATAGTAATAGTTCAACATAGTTTCCACAAAATAATTTGTCGGAAAAATAAATTTTAAAATTGCGAAATTTCAATTGAATTCTTCTAAAATTTTGATTCATCGGAATATTTTAATATATATTCCTTCATGTTAAAATTTTATTTTTTCTAAAATAGTTAGATATGTAAAAAAAAAAAAAAAAAAAA